GGTTGGGGATGGGATCATTGGTAAGTATTTTGTATATTATGTTATATGACCTATTGAATATGAAATGTCAACATGACTATGATAATATGTCTTTAAACTACAAGAAAATAGGTCATTAACGAGGAGAAATTTGGTCGTTAAATGTCTACGTCCGGACGCTATATGTCAATAAAGACTAGACAAAATTCAGTTGTCGTTGGTCGTTAAAAGCCCTGAGCTAAAAGTCAACGACCAGATTTTAGCTTGGTCGTTAAAAGTATCCTTAATGACCACACTAATTGCTGTCATTATATGTCCTTTTTAGCGACCGATTTTCCCCTTAGTACATATACTTTAATGATTGAAACTCATTTCATTAATTTATATGTTACTATCTTACCAATACATTTAACAACCAAGTTTCCCATCGGTAATGTTCGTTTCAATCGTTCATAAGCTATTTGTAAATGAGTTTTAAATACCCTATTTTTATTTGATATTATTATACAAAGATTATACGAGTGAATAATATTAAATATTTAATGCAAAGAAACACTAAAAATATTTTTATTAATAAGCTTTATTGTTTAACAAATAACTAATTAAAGAAAGATAGATCATATTCAAGTTAATATGACCTATCTTTATCAACTCCCAAAATGAGAAAATTGCAACATATCTAAACAATAAGACATCATATTTAAACTACCCCGAACCAAATTGGTAAAAGAACTCCTAAACTTCAACTTTCTCCGTATTTTCTTTAACATTAGATTTATATTGGAATTCTTGAGCTGTAAAAAGAACATATGTCAGTTTAGCAAAAAAAAAATCATATAGAATAAACACAAAACCTCAACATATTTGCGAAAAGAATGCAAAACATTTAAGTTACTAAAAACATGTGAATAATAACTTTTAGTATGGCTGAATATAGCATATTTTCAGTGTTGTTTATATTCTTATAATTCACTCTAGAGTCCAATATGATATTGGAAAATAGTAATTAGGACAAAAGAGTTTCTTCTGCGAAGTCGTGTTTGATTTCTCAATTCATGAAGCTGGTTCATACTGGAGATTTACGTTTTCAAGGGTATATGTTGTCATTGACATGGTTCCAAAGTGTTTTACTATCACCATATATATCTTGAATGTTTAGTGCTACTTTTTTCATGAACAATTTTTCTGAGGTTCTAAGAAATATATTACTAGAGCAATGAACATTATTTTTCGATTATTTTTTCTCGTCTTCATCAATGGAATGTGTGCTTGCTTTTGAAACTTATGTTGCAGTTAGTAGACTCCTAAAATTTACCAGGGGACATGTTGAATACCCCAACAATCTATGAGACAATCGACATTAAAAGTGCATTTGGTGACTCGTAACGAATCCCGAAGAATTCGTCAAATAGAGAACTGGATTTCAAATAATCGCCCTACAACTGCACATTTTTCAAGAGGATGATATAAACTATGCATTACTGGGTGATAGCTAGTGCCAATTTTTTTTTAAAAAATGGCACTGATAAAATCTCTCATATCATTAATATGTTTATATGCCTCTGAAATTATGCATGCATTAGTATGACTACATTTGATAGAAAATAAAACATCTTAATACATAATTCTCTAAAATTGGTGATCTTTACAAATGAAGTTCTTTAACATACAACAAGAAATTGATTCCCACGAGGCAAGTTTTTGTCCTCTCTTTCATTTGAAGCCGTTTAAAAGGACTACTCTAAAAGATAGGTCAAGAAGAGAGTACAAGCAAGTGAAGTTGCAGTGCAACATGTAAAGCCACTCGTACCACGGCAACAAGTGCAACTGCTACAAGTTGCATTTTACTACTAATGTTTGCAGTGACAAGATGAGAATTTGTCTTGGAATTAATCCCACCAATCATGAAAATCCCAATTAAGTAGAATTTAGTAGCTATTTCAACCTATTGACTGATCATTAAGGGATGCAGGTGTTCCGTGAGTGACTGTGCAACACCAACCTAGAATGTCCAGCAACAAAGAGCATATGGAGAAACCATTCGATTGGCTAGAAATAATGAGACCACCCTGATCATGGCTATAGGAAGTTCAATGGTGCATGAACTGGGAGAAAGTCAAGGAAAACATGGCTATAGTATATAGAGCCACACTTGTCGATGTTGTGGATTAGATATGGTTCAAAAGGAACAATAAAATATTCTAGCAAAGAAGGAGACAAGAGACTTGTATAGTGAAGAAGATCATCTAAGAAGTACTAGTGAGAGGCAACATACATCCAAATATACAATAGTGTGCTTCTCAACTCAATAGATACTCGTGCTTCCTAGAGGGTTATCATATGATTTAATTATAATAAGCAGATAGATGAAGAGGTTTCATTCGCAAACTGTGTATGTCCAGTTGAGGAACGAGTTTGTATTTATGTGTTTTACGAATGACATAAAACTTCAATAAAGAAATTTAAGAATACTCTAGGGGCACTATAAGGACAACCAAAAGTTCACTTCACTTATTTAAAAGAAAAGTAAATCTTGGAAAAAGAGTTAAAAAAACTCCTTTGAAAAAATGTCCGGCAGATAGCTAAGGTTATAACAATACTTGTCTGACCACCCCTAACTGATCGATTAGTTAATAACCTATAAATTAAAAAGAGTAATTAAACAATATGCACCATAGAATCAATTTCATTAATACACGTAGGAAAGCAGAAACTTACCTTTGATGAGAAGAGTACTTACTCTAAGAATGCATAACTTTTTTATCAAGCAGCAATCGACAAAAGCTAGACCAACAGATGAGCTATCCTGATGAGCGATCAGTGATGAGTAGTGGCCAGAGAAGGCTAAAATCCTTCTTTTAACACTTGCCACTGCTGAATAATTTTCTAACTTTAAACAATCTACAATTTTTTTCTTAAATATGTATGAATCCAAAAAAGAAGATTTTGTATTAATCACATTATTATATAGCAGAAGCTAAACACCTAAATCCCTTTAACCAACGCTTCCTATTGGTTAGTAGTAGATAATGTAGCAGCAAGCAAAAAAATTGTTAGAAGAAACTAAGGCAACAGTAAATCTAGGTGCAACAATACATCTGTCCTAAGTTAAAGCAGGCCAACAATAGGTTGTATAATCAATTTTTTAAAATAAAAAACGGGTTGTTAGGAATAAGAAGTTGTGACGTAAAGGCAAAAATAAAACTTACAATTATCCTGCAGTTAAGGCAACGAAAAATAGATGTACACACGATACAATAAGGGTCTTTTATATTGATGATATGAGCTAATGAACATGGAAGATATATATGAATTTATGATAATGTTGTCTTTGTTTATGAACATGTTTTATATTGTTCTGATCCTTGTCATATATATTGTCTCTTGTCTGTGCATAAAGTAGTAAACAATCTTATAGGAAGTGTTATGTTGCCTTAAGGAAGCCTAAAAATCAGTTGACCAAAGTTAATACGGGTGTCATTTTATAAGTGGAGACAAGAAATGGTGGACAGTAATGCATGAATTCAATCAAGTACCAGTTTAACCTTACTAGAAGGAAGATTCAGAATGATAATAGATGCCACATGTGAAACAGACCAGCAGAAACTCACAGCTATATGTTTCCCCAGCTTTTTTGGCCTTACAAGATTAAAGCCTAACACTATCATGAAATTTTTTGAAGGCTTGACCCGCTAGAAAGTTGACAGCACCATAGAAAAGATTTGGAAGTCAATTCTTGCTGCCATGTAATGGACTATATGAAATTAAAGAAGTAGAAGATGCTTTGATGACCTCTCAACTACACAAGTTATGCTCAAAGTTAATGTTTTTTGGATTTATACTTCAAAACAACAATCCAGGTTCAAGAACTTTACATTTTAGATCATAATCATTAAGTCAAAACTCATGTATACACTCATTTGTCTTAAATGGTTGCCTAAAAAACATAACTCCTTTAAGTTAAATGCCGATGGAGGCCTTTGATGTTGTTTCTGACAGGGGAGGACCAGTTGGTTATACGAAATCATACATGTAAAACTTACGAGATCATACGTTGATTTTTGCTGCTGACAAAAAAATTAGTACACATAACAAACGACGGGAAGAGGTTAAATGATGCAGTTCACTTCAAAGAATTAACTGGAATGGAGAGAAGTTGTTCTTGAAAGGCTTGCTATGCTTCATCTTCTTGCTAATTTCTCTAACAACCATGGAAAAAGACAAATGTCGAGTATATGAATAATGTTTTCTTCACAAAGGAGTGGGAGTGGTGGGAAAACATGTCTAGTTGAAAGATGGAAGAGTGTAACTTATATAATGTAGTGTCTTTTTTATTATTATTAACAATCGGATACTAATTTTACTTACAATATGATATTATCATGTTGTGGATGTTAAATATAAAATGGAATTATAACGAAAAAATGAAAACGTTGTCGCTATAAATATACCTTTAACGACCGGATTCATATCCCGTTGTTATGACTTGGTCGTTAGAAGTATCACTACAACATTTTGTCTATAACCACCCTAGAAATACTTTTTGACTTTAAGCCACACTTTTTCAGGGGTGTCTGAAAGTCCCGTAACCTTAGAGTTTAGGCTTAGCAGCTATGCTTAAAAGCGTTCAAAAAAGGCAAAAAGGCGACGCTTTTGCAGCTACGCTTAAAAGTGTTGCCTTATCAACTATACTTTTAAGCATAGCCTTAAAGGAAAAAAGGCGACACTTTCAAGCGCAGCTTGATAGGAAAAAAGGCCACACATTGCAGCTACATTTAAAAGTGTTGTCTTGCCTGCTACACTTTTAAGTGTGGCCTTTGCTACCATACCTGCTACACTTTAAAGTGTAGCCTTTGCTACCATATTGTGCACAATTAGGAAGTGTTGACTTTTATATCTAATATATTACAACACTTTGAAGTGTAGTCTTTTCCCATATGCATACACAATTTATATGCCACAATTCCTAAGTAAAATACACAAATATTGTTTTGCAATAAATAATCTCAAACATTAAGTACTCTTACAAATTTATAGATTTTCCATAAACTTCAAACATAATGTGTTGTGTACATACACAAACTTATAAAGCAATATTCTAAATGTGTACATAATAGTTAAAAAAGTACACTTATAATAGTTCAATATATTCCACCAGTGAATATATTTCACAAAATCAAAGACAATGTAATCAAACTTTCCTTATACGCTCTAAAAGGGGGTCATGGACTCCTTTTTAGTTTAGGATCCCCTTTCTACATTCAATTATTTATTGAACGAAAAAACTTACTATTATGGCTATGTAAGGGGACCGGCTTCCCCTTTTTCAATCACCTCCTACCTTAAGGTAGGCCCACTGCTGAATACCCTCAATCGAATAGCTCAAAAACTCTTCATCATCCACTTAAAATTTGTTCACCTCCATTTCCCTACACAAATCATATTGCTAAGGTTATAGAATAGGCAAAAAAATTTCATACTGCAACATTTATTGAAGAGGCAAGAAATCCTGATTGAAGTAGTTTATATAATCATTCATGCTTTAAATATATGTTACTCTCTATTTACTGTTAAGAGGTAATATTGCTCAATTTGCAAAATGTACTTACTACTAAGGAACTTGGAAACTACATATTGTGTTCCATATTGCAAAACTATTTTCCTTGAAGGAAAACTGCCCAACCTGCCCAACCATACCAACCTGCCCAATAATTCCATATTGCAAAAACAGTGAATCATATTTTCCTTGAATATGCTTTTTAGCTTTTGGTTACCTGAAGTTATTTCCTAGAAATTATCCCAACTCTCATTATAGTTTACTCGATACACAGTCAATTAGACATAGTTAACAACCTTCAATACTCAAAACTATCTTCAATGCATTAATATACTCCTCAAACAGGTCATAGAATGATCTATCCCCACTGTTACTGCATGTATTTTCCATACATAACTAGCTAAATTTCTGGTAACTAAGATATTTTCAATATCATCCCTCCTTGCCCTGTAACAGCGAAAACTTTCATACCCTCTTTTCCAAATGTGTTATGTTTTTAAATGCATATGCTTAAGCAAAATAAAATTATTAATAGGATCCTTAGATTGTTTTTTCCTAATCCTCTCCCAGGCAGTAGATACTGTAAAACTGTCATCTTAAGAGGGAATCCAGTTTGAAAAAACAGTAAGTCATAATTTTCTTGACGGCAAATGCTTTTTAGCTTTTAGTTATCTGAAGTTATTTCCTAGACAACTATCCCAACTCTCATTATATTTTACTCGATACACAGTCAATTAGACATTGTTGTTAACCTTCAATACTCAAAACTATCATCAAGACACTATCGTCATACCATATATAACAAACCCAACTCTTAAATATGTCCTACAAAAAAATTCCAAGGTAAAACATTTTCCCCTAGAAACATACTAAATACATAATGTACGTTTCATGAATCAGGGAGCAAATCCTAACAGGATGACACTCTGGCAAAACAAAACTTCATAAAAAGAAAAGGATGCTAGCAGGACAAAGAACAACTAGGAAACAGAAGTTTAAAAGTAATTGGTAGTATCACAAGCCTATAAATCAAAATAAAGGATAGAAGTCGTTTAAATTCCAACCATAACGAACAAGCCATTAACAACAACTAAAAGGAGAACTTTTAAGCATTTAGAGTGTTTCGCCAGCATTCAACAATATTCAAAACTATATCGAGATCTCTTTTTCTTGATAGCAGTAAACTAATCACATACCTTTGCAACTCCAATTTTGAAAAGATCTCTTTTTCTGCTTCTACGCCAGTTTCATATTATTGTAGGATCCCTTTCAAACTAGAATATATATACAATGTCAAATATGATTGTTGGCGGAAAAGTAGCCAAGTAGAAGGAAAATGCTATGAGTTGAACAATAAGTAGAAGTTAATGCAACATCTACCCTATCAAAATAAAGCAACTTGACTATATCGTTTGAACTTAGGCTTTTGTATAGAGAACTGGAATTTCAGATCTTTCTCAATAAAAATTTCATATTAATCGTGCAAAAACTAGATTTACAGATATATTATGGGATTACGATTTTTCCAATATATATAGCACAACTAGATACCACAACACATTTTTAAACTGCAATATAGAGATAAAATTTTTAAGTTGATCCCTTTTTCCTTGGGTGGTAGGGAAGAGGATAATAAGGTGGGGATTGAACATAGACATAAAAGTTCTGATAACTAATCAACTAAGCTACTAAAATTTCGAGATAACTGATCCTTGATTAGCCAAACAAACCCAACAAATCAATACCACTAACAAAGTTCGTTATAAAACAAGAAGAACACAAATAAACAAAAAGGGGTACTTTAAATTCATTAAGCATTAATTTCATTACCCCAATCAATAACTATTACTCAAGCAAAATAAAAAGGGTGAAAAAAATAACAAATATTGAAAAAATATCAATGTTTTATCACTCATAATTTACTGAGAAACTTAACTACTAACACAAATAGAAAAAAAAGGATTACCTTAGATTTATTAGCATTAATTTCATTACTCTCAGCCATAACTATTCATCAAGCAAAACAAAAAAGAACCCCAAAAAAATCAAATCTTGAAAAAAATGAGTTTTTATGTATCATAATTTTCTGAAAATGACCAATAGTAGACAGTTGACTGTTAATTAGACAAAAAGGTATAATTATTAACTGATTTATTGATTCCTAGTTTTTGGATTTCAATTATAAAAGAAGAAATGACAGTTTCTGAAACAAGAGCAGACAAAAAAAAATAAGAACAAAGAAGATATAGAGAAGAAAAAGAAGAAGATGAAGAGAAAAAAATATAGAAAGAAAGTAAAATTTAAAGCTTAAAATAGAGATAGAGATGGATGAAAAAAGAAGAAAAAGACAAAGAAATCCCCTTAGTGCAAATATTGTTTCCGCCACTCCCGCAAAAGCCAAGACAACTACAACAACAGTAACATACCAATAAAGTCCCACGAGTGAGTTCTAAGAGGGTAAAGACCCACCCAAGAATTGTAGGGATCAAATATGGACGGGTCGGTTACGTTGGAATAGGTTAAACAGAAAATAGATAAAAAATTCGATTTTCACATAGATAATAAATGGATTAAGCGACATACAATGTGGTGGTTACATAAATAAACGAACACAAGATAAAAATCTCAATAAACTTAAAAATTTCATAAATAAATAAATCATGTAAGTTGTAACAAGCAACATATATATATATATATATATATATATATATGTATGTATGTATGTATGTATGTATGTATATACATTTTTTGATGGATAATATCCATTTTCAAAAAGACAAAGATATGTAATGGGTAGTTACTTGTTTTCTCTAATTATTGTGTGAGTCAGCCGTGAATGATAGTACTAGTTTGTTTTTCCTACTTCGGAAAGAGTACCCAAATGGCCAGAGGTTTTGCGTGACAAACACCTTAGAATAAATGGATGATGCAGTATATTTCTTTATATATATATATATATATATATATATATATATATATAACCGCTACTTTGTTTCCATGCATTCGTTGGGTAGCAATAAGTAAGAGAGGTAATAAAATACTTTCACCAGGGCCAATTCCCCTTCCATTGATTGGAAAATTTGCATAATATTGCTAGTGTTCAACCTCGTAAGTCACTTGACAGGCTTGCCCTATTTTAGGTTTTCAAAGATAGAATTCTTACCCTAAATAATTCTATCTTTGAAAGCATAATTGTACACAAGACATCAAAACCCTAAAGCTAAAATTTATACTTTCAAAGATAGAATTCTTACCCGGTAAACCCTATCCTAACAAAATCGAGTTCTTCAGCAAGAACAATTATGGAAATCGTATTCTTTAGAGAGATTATCTTTAGCTCTTTACCTCTTCAGCCATAAATCTGTCTAAAATTTGAGAGAAAAGTGTGACAGAGAGACTTAACTTCAGTCATCTTGCCAACAACCCCAATAAATTCCTTCTAAACAAAAAAAAATCATTCAATAACCAAAAATTTGAGAGAAGCGGTCATCTTGGTCTTGGAGAAATCTTCATGAAATAAACAAAAAGCAAAAATTAAGCAAATTGGTACTTACCTTGACGGAATCTTCAGCAAATTGGTCTTGGTGAGTTCTTCAGCAAATATTTCAGCTTGATCTTCGGCAAATTTGAAGCTTGGTGAAAGAAAAGCGTGAAATTGTGAAAGGGAAAGCATGAGTTCTGATTTAGGAAAGTGAAAGGAAAGCGTGAAGTTGTGTTTTATTATTAATTAAGTTTATTTTTTTTGGCCAATAAAATGGGAGGGAGAGTTAAAATTATTGGAGGGAATATAAAATTTTGGTGAAAATTTTAAGTCCATACTCATAATTTGTTGTTTTAACAATAATAAAAACTAAACACTTAAAAATTGTGGTCATATATTTAAAAAATCGTTGTAAATTATATCATATTTTAGCAACACTTATAAAGTGTAGCTTATAACTTTTAAGTACACTTTTCAAGTGTTGCCAATATTATCGTTGTTCAAGGTTAAAAAAATTTGCTACACTTTAAAAGCATTCCCAAAAATACTTTGGGCAACACTTTAAAAGTGTAGTTTAGAATTAGTGTCGTTGTAGACACAAAATGGTGTAGTGTATGATTTCTTGTAGTGTTAATTATGAGCATGCTTTATGTTGATGGAATCCTTGACTTGTATATATTCTATGGTATGTGCAATAAAGACGTTCACATGACTTAGCACGTTTTCTAAAGATATGATAAATGATCATTTTTCATGCATGTCCTTAAATATTATGTGCATTAACCCATACTTAGTACATGTGGCGTACTACCCCCTTTACTTTATATTACTACAATTGTAGGTTGTAACCATTAAAGTTTAAGGAGGTCGATTTGAAGTAGCTTGGAACTCTTTCTCTAAGTCTTGGTAGGTCTTCATGTTCGGGAAGCTATTAATTATATTCAAGCTTATGAAGACTTCAATAGATATTAGGAATATCCTATTTACATTATGTCTCTTTGGATTCTTTTGTATTAAGGCCTATATGGCATATTGACTATGTATTGGCTAAGTCAAGATTTGCACTCTTAGATGGTTTTATATATGTGAGACAATTTCTTAGAATATAGTATGGTTTATGAATGATAACCATGATGTCTAAGTATACTTCAAGTAGAATGTAAAATTTTTAATTTTTTACAGATCACATGTAATGACGAATGCTAAGGACTTGTCTAAGTCCTCTGAAAGGACGACGACATCTCGGTATGCGCTCCAGGTGTGACAAGCTTGGTATCAGATTATGTGGTTAAATATACTTAGTATCAGTGTCTCACTAAACCATGTTACCTAATGTCTTGTTCGTGGTTGTAAAGCGCACCACAATTATGGATGAGAGGCTATGTGATGACTACGAAACTTCTCTTATTCTTGATACTCCTATGTAATGCCTTTAGAATTTTGACACTATGTGTCTTATAGCATCTAATCCTTTTATTGTGGTTATAGGAGATGAACATAAGAAGAACATACGCCAGGAGTGTTGAAGAAGAGATTACGAATGCACTACTCCCCAAGGCAATCAAAATGATCCTCAAGTGCAAGCTGCTGCAAATAATCAAGTTTCGGTGAATCCTCCGGCTATGACGGATGGTGAGGTGAGGGCAGCCTTGTTCCAAATGACCCAAACAATCATGTCTCAAGCTAACAGGAAGGTTGTTCCTCGAGAGAACCCACATGCTAGTACTATGGCTAGCCGTTTGAGAGACTTTACGAGGATGAATCCTCCCATGTACTTTCGATCAAAAGTTGATGATTTCACCCAAGATTTCCTTGATGAGGTCTAAAAGATCTTGTTTTCTATGGGTGTAAGTACTACTAAGAAGGTTGATCTTGCTGCATATCAACTCAAGGACGTGGCTGAGACATGGTACAATCAGTGAAAGGATAGTAGGGATTTACGAGGTTGTTCCGTGACTTGGGATATCTTCATAAAGTCCTTTCTTGACAGATTCTTTCCAAGGGAACAAGGAGAAGGTAGAAGAGTTCTTCAACCTTTATCAAGGAGGTATGAGTGTTAAGGAATACTCCTTGAAATTCATTAGATATTCCAAATATGCTTCTTCTTTGGTTTCTAATGCTAGGGATTATATGAGTCATTTTGTAAAAGGCGTGTCCGAAGAGCTTGAAGAAGAATGTTGTGCAGCCATGCTTCATGAGAATATGGATCTTTCTAGGTTAATGGTTCATGCTCAACGGGTTGAGGAAAGTTGTCTAAGGAGGAGGAATAGGGAAGCTAAGAGGGCAAAGTCGTTTTTATGGTTCTTCGAAGAGTAGGATTGATGTTCAAGACAAGCCTAAGTTTAAGGAAAGGTTTTCAAATCAAGTTCCTTCTAAATTCTCCAAGAATCTCAATGATAGAGTTTCGAATCCTAAACCTCAAAAGATGAGAAATGTTGATCTACCAAAAGAGAGACCAACTTGTGGTAAGTGTTGTAAGAAACATGTAGGGTCTGTCTTCTTGGGACTAATAGTTGCTATGGTTGTGGCAAGGGTGGTCATATGGTGAAAGATTGCCCTAATGTTATAAGCCAAGTCAAGGGAAATGGTCAATCTCAACCAAGCGGCCCTAGTTCTGTAGCTCAAAAAAGGAACTGTTTCTATGCACTCAAGGCTAGGGGTGAACAAGAAAGCTCTCCCGACATTGTGACTGGTATGTTACAAGTTTTCTCTCTTAATGTATATGCATTGCTTGATCCAGGTGCTACTCTTTCTTTTGTTAAAACTTTGGTATATAGGAAGTTTGATGTACTTTCCGATAATCTGATTGAACCCTTTTGGCTTGTACCCCAATGGGCGAATCTATAGTTGCAAAAAGAGTCTATAGGAAATGTCCTATGATGCTGCCCAATGAAGCTATTCATGCTGATTTGGTAGAACTTGACATGTTTGATTTTGATATCATTTTGGATATTGATTGGCTTCATGATTGTTTTGCTTCCATTGATTGTAGAACAAGGGTAGTGAAATTTCAATTCCCTAATGAATATATTCTAGAGTGGAAAGGGGGGAATTCTATGATAAAGTGTCAAATCATTTCTTATTTGAAGGCTTGTAAGATGATAGCCAAGGTTTGTCTATATCATATGGTGAGAGTTAAGGACCTAGAATGTGAAACTCCTTCTATTGAGTCATTCCATGTAGTAAGAGAACTCCCAGAGGTTTTTCCTAATGACCTTCCAGGAGTTCGTCCCGAACGAGAAATTGACTTTGACATTGATTTGTTACCGGATACAAATCCCATTTTAATTCCTCCATATAGGATGGCTCCGGCGAAATTAAAGGATTTGAAGCTCCAACTCAAAGATTTACTAGACAAGGTTTTCATTCAACCTAGTATTTCTACATAGGGTGTTACGGTCGTGTTTGTTAAGAAGAAGTATGGGTCCCTTGGAATGTACATTTATTATCGCCAACTCAATAAGGTCACCATAAAGAACAACTATCCTCTCCCTAGGATTGATGATCTATTTGATCAACTCCAAGGTGCAAGTTACTTTTCCAAGATTGACTTAATGTCGGATATCACGAAGTTAGGGTGAGAGGTGAAGACATTCCCTAAAAATCTTTCCAAACTAGATTGTAACTATGAAATCCTAGTTGTTTTTTGGGTTAACGAATGCCCGAACGATATTCATGGACCTAATGAATAATGTGTTTCAAGATTACCTTTTGTGATGATGTTCATTGATGATATTTTGAGATACTCCAAGAATGAAAATGAGCATGAGAGTCACTGGAGGTTGGCCTTGCAAGTCCTCAAAGAACACCAACTTTATGTCAAATTTAGCAAATGTGTATTTTGCTAAAGGTTGGTTGCTTTTCTTGGCCATATTCTCTCAAGTTATGGTTATGAGATTGATACCAAGATGACGGATGCGGTTAGAAATTGGCCTAGACCTTTGACTCCCACAGACAAAAGGAGTTTCTTGGGTCTAGCCGGCTTCTATAGAATATTTGTTGGTGGATTTTCGTCCATTGATTCTCCTTTGACAGCTTTGACCAAAAATAAGGTGAAGTATGAGTGGATAAAAGCTTGTGAGAAAGGTTTTCAAGAGTTGAAAGATATGTTTACCTCCGCTCCAGTTTTGACCTTACTGGAGGGCAATGAAGGCTTTGTAGTGTATTGTAATGCTTCCCGAGTGGCCTTGGTATGTGTCCTCATGCAACATGAAAATTTTATTGCATATGATTCTAGGAAACTCAAAGTTCATGAGAAGAATTACCCAACTTATGATCTTAAATTAGCAGCTGTAGTTTTTGCCTTGAAAATATGGAGACATTACTTGTATGGTGTGCATGTTGATGTGTTTACTGACCATAATAGTCTATAACATGTGTTTACACAAAAGGAGTTTAACCTCCTACAATGAATATTGTTAGAATTGTTGAAGTATTATTACATGAGTTTTCTTTATAACCCCGGCAAAGCCAATGTGATTGTGGATGCTTTGAGTCAAATGACTATGGGCAGTGTATCCATGTGGAGGAAGAGAAGAAAGAACTTGTGAAAGGTGTTCATAGGTTGGCTCGCTCAAGTGTGAGGTTAGTAGATTCTAAAAATGGTGGATTCATGGTCCATCAGAACTCCGACTCATCATTACTGGTGGAGGTTAAATCTAAGCAGCATCTTTATCCATTATTGATGGAGTTGAAGGAATTGGTACTTGGTAAGATCAATGAGTCATTCTCCCAATGTGGGGATGGTGTTCTTAGGTACCAAGGGAGAATATGTGTACCCGATGTTGAAGATTTGAGAAATCAAATTCTACAAGAAGCTCATGGTTCTCGCTATTCTATACATCTAAGTGATATAAAAATGTATATGACCTTAGAGAGGTGTAATTGTTGTATGTTTTAAAGAGGGACATACCAGATTTGTTGCTAAGTGTCCAAACTTCCAACAAGTTAAAGCTGAGAATCTCAAATTAGATGGGTTAACCCAAATCATGGATATCTGTACATCGAAGTGGGAAGACAACAATATGGAATTTTTTGTTGGGTTGCCTCGAACCCGAAATCAAAATGAATCTATATGAGTTATTGTGGATAGGTTGACCAAATATGCCCATTTTATTCCTGTTAAGTCCACTTACACGGCTGAAGACTGTGCAAGGATCTACCATTGATAAGATTGTAAGTCTTCATGGGATTCCTTTGTCCATCATTTCGGATAGAGGTGCCCAATTCACTTCTCGGTTTTAGAAGGCTTTTTAAAAGGGTTTAGGTACTCAAGTGAAACTTAGTACCATTTTTCATGCTCAGACAGGTGTTCAAGCGGAATGTACCATTCAGACCCTTGAGGACATGTTAAGAGCCTGTGTCATTGATTTCAAGGGAAGTTGGGATGATCACTTACCTTTGATTGAGTTCTCTTACAACAATAGCTATCATTCGAGAATCTCCATGGCACCTTTTGAAGCTCTTTTTGGTAGAAGCTGTAGATCTCTGGTTAGATGGTTTGAGGTTTGTGAATCCACACTCCTTTGTCCTGAGATTTTCTATCAAGCTATAGAGAAGGTTTGAATCATAAGCGATATATTGAAGACAACCTATAGTCGGCAATAGTCTTATTCCGATAATAAAAGAAGATATCTTGAGTTTGAAATAGGTGATCATGTCTACTTGAAGATTTCACTTATGAAAGGGGTGATGAGGTTTGGTTAGAAGGGGAAGTTAAGTCCCCAGCATGTTGGTCCCTATGAGGTTTTGCAACAAAGTGGAAAGGTTCCCTATTAGTTGACTACCTAGTGAACTTGCTTCACTTCATCAAGTCTTTCATGTGTCTATGCTCAAAAAATTCATAGGTGACCCAGTATCCATTTTACCTATTGAAGGTATAGGGGTTGATGAGAACCTCTCCTATGAAAAGGTTCCTGTTGAGATCCTAGATCGCCAAGTCAAGAAGTTGACAAACAAGTAGGTTGCCTCTGCAAAAGTTCTATGGACAAACCATCTTATTTAGGGTGAAACATGGGAGGCTAAAGCCGACATGAAGTCCAGCTACCCTCGTCTCTTTACTCCTTAAGGTTAGACATTCGTGTTAATTTAGAAAGTAATGCATGATCATGAAATCGAATTGATTTCTAAATAGGTGCATATCTGATAAAAGTTATACCTACTAGAGTTTTAAGAAAATGCCTTCATACGCTATTCTTGCACTTATGTGAAACATGTATCCATATGTTTTCTTGAGATTTTGCTATTTTGTTTCCATCTTGAGAAGAACGATAGCATGGTAACTCTTTGAAAAATTTTGAGGTTATGATAAGGTTGAGATGGAAGTTCCTCACTATGTGTTATGATATGGAGATCTTATATGTTGTGTATTATGAATCGAGCGTTATGTGTAATGTTATGGTATGTGTTGTGAGGAGTTGTGATATACTCCTATGAGTTGTGACTCACTATTATTTTATGTTATTGATTGGTTGTGTTGCTAGTATTGAATCTATTCTTACCCTCTTAAAGATTTTAGTGTCAATCAGGGACGACTAATCCTAAGGGGGGGATAACGTAACACTCCTGAAATGCCATGACTTAGTCTAGAGCTTAATCTATTAAATAATATTCAAAATTATTTTTAAAGACCTATATTAATGTAATAAAATCATTTGGAAAAGGTTAGAGCCAAAACGACTAAGAAAGACCTTGACGTACGGAAACTAGCTAATTTGAACTAGTTGACGTCCCAATGTTTGGTGAAGATTTCAAAGTGTCAAATGAATTAAAAAAACTTGTAAATTTACCTTGTACAGGTATTATTTAGTACAAGGGGTCCAAACGTCCGTTAAAGAGACCCCAAGTACAACCCTAAGGGTACTTGGGGAGGACCGAAACATAGGTGGGCAGGCTGCCTGGCAGCCCGCGAGCAGGCAGAACTGGAGGCATAGCGTGCGATGCGCACCTGACACGAGGTGTCCTGCCTCAAGATATGAGATGCAACCTCGCAAAGCGAGGATGACACTCACCTAACTGCGTCAACTCAAAATTCAATAAAAATGATGTTATTTGTCCCCACGAGGCGCATCTACTTCCCAGAATCGTTAAAGTCGTATTTTTTGTAAATTAACTTATTAAAAAGACCCATTTAAGTGGAGGATCTTTTGGGTAATCAATAGGACGACTATATATTGATATTAAGTCAGTTTTACACCACTTTTACACGTCCCAAACAAGAGTGAAAGAAATGTCTCTCATTCTCTCAAGAACACTCTCTTCTCCTAACTCCATTGAAGAACAAAAAGAGAAGTTTCTACAATTGTGGTAAACGTGGTCATAAAGGCTACTGAATATCGGGGTCCCAAGAAGAACAAGAAGAAGAAGGATCAAGCAAATTTTCCTGAATACAAAGGAGAAATGGATGATCTCTGTGCAATGCTTTCAGAATTTAACTTGGTTATAAATCCAAGAGAATGGTGGATTGATTCTGGTGCCTCATACCATGTGTGTGCTAACAAAGAACTATTTTCATCAAATACACCAGCAACTACAGACAAAAAGTTATTTATGGCAAACTCCATTTTCGCAAAGGTAAAAGGAACTGGCAAGGTCCTATTAAAGATGACATCAGGCAAGGTAGTGACTTTGAACAAGGTCTCGTATGTTTCGAAATTATGAAATAACTTAATTCTATTACATTTCTTACTAAGAATGGATTAAAATGTGTATTGTGTCTGATAAAGTAGTAGTGAGTAAGAATGAAATGTAAGTAGGAAAAGGTTACCTCAGTGTTGACCTTTTCAAAGTGAATGTAATTGCAGTTGATATGAATAAAGATTTTGCTTCTTCTTACTTGCTTGAGCCTA